ATCCCAGCTCACAGCCCCGTGGTCAGGTTATTTGGGGGTGCCCTGAGCTTCTCTGATTTATTACTAACCTTTTCCAACTCATCCCACTGTCTTTGCTATCTAGCTCTCCCACCCAGAGGGTCACAGCATCGTCCAGGGCACTATGAGAGGGCTGGGGTAACTCACCAAGGGGAAAAGGGGATACAAAAGTCAGGGCTGGACCCTCAGCAGCAAGAGCACAAGAAGCAGGATGGGGCTGCAACGGGGCTGTGAGAGGCCCCAGAGCACCAGCATGAAGGGTCTATGCCTTCAAATCCGAAGGTGGTGAATCCAAAACGGATAAGAGGAAGAAGTATTTTTTCTCACTTCGTGCTTAATTAGACTGACACAGGAAAATGCTCAGGCCAAAATTTAGCAGGATTCAAGGAAGGATTGGGCATTTATGGGGATAACAAAAATATCCAGCTATAACAGTGGGTGCCAACATAAATTCTGGTTAGGGACATTAAACCTCACGCGTCAGGGTGTAAACCCATCCCAAACTCTCAGAAAGTAGGGAGTTTAATGTAGGGGCAGGTGACCCACAAATGCCACCACTGCCATTGCTACCTTGCTGCCAGCACAGCCCCGCACTGGCCGAGCCATGGTATGGGGCCGTCCCTGGAGCCTCGTTTCCTGCTGCCAGCAGCACTTACTGACAAGGGCTGCAAATTGCTCTTGGCAATTCAGCCCCTTGCTTGTAGGTCTCCAGGGCTGTGTGGCTCACAGGGCTCGGACATGCCCTCCATTTCACGCTTCCCCTTGCTTTACCAGCTCATAAAAGTCTTATCATTTCAATCCAGAGGCAGCCCCTCTGTGAAAGGGTCTGTGCAGATCACAGGCACATCCCTGGGTGGTGTAGCATCTTCTCTCAACTTCTTGCTAACAGCCAAGCCCTTCACTTCCCCCTCACATCACTTGTTGCCCAAATGTGCCTTCATCTCCTGAGTTCATTCCTCCTGATCCCTACTTCTTTTGGGGCTGGTCTCCAGCCTCTGAAAGGGGCTGCTCACCTCTAGCATCTCGTGAGTGTATGGCAACGTTTTGTGAGCACTGCTCAGATGAGCCCTGGGTCACATCTCAGGCAGAGCCTTCCTCACCCGCTCTGCATCAGCAACAATCATCGTATTGCCTGCTCTTGTCCAAAAAGTGCTGTCACTCCCAGCCCGTGCGTGGCCACAAGCCTGTCAGGGCTGCAGCCCAGGCTGGGGTGAAGCTACCATTCTGTGGTACCCAGGAGCTGAGCGCAAGCATCTTCATCCCTGCTGAGGATGGTACCACTGCATGCCACAATTGTTAACATGAGGCGTGTGCCGCTCTGCTCCTTGTGAGGTGGGATGCTCCTGAAACCTTGGCTGTTGTAAAAGATCAGAGATGGTTCAATGTGACCAGAGGAGAGCCTAGAGCTTTCTTGGTTGGGGTCCAGGGTCTCCTGCGCTCACCGCTTCTGTGCTCACCACTCTGCCACAGGCAACACTGCTGGGGTCTCTTGGATCTCTCCTCGCTTCCGAGCCTTGCACCCAGAGGGGCTTCCAACTGGAGACATTTCTGGAGGGCATGAATCAGCTTTTCACAGCTTGTTAAAAATCTTGATCCTACCTCTTGTTTTCATGCCTTTCAAATCAGGAAATGAGTTTTACAACTTTTCCAGCGGGGCACAGCTGGTGGCCAGGGTCGTAAAGCTGAACTTTATAAATATCTCTTCTTGGGACCAGGGGAAGAGCATTAAAGAGGCAGAGAGAGAAAGAGAGAGAGAGAAAGGGAAAGGAACAAAGGCAATAGAGAAGCGAGGCAACCTCTGCGAAGAAGCCCAGCTCAAAGCCAGCCATGGCCATGCAAGCGCAGAAGATGGGGTGTGCTTGGGGCAGGCTTTGCCTCCTGCTCTCCCTCCTCCTCCAGCTGCCGGTTTCCCAGGCCAAATGCTACTTCCAGGCTAAAGGTAAGCAGGGAGGTGAGATGGGAAGCGGTTGATGGGCAGAGGAGGCCTCAGCTTTTTCCCCAGGGTGTCAGGGCTCTGCCCAGCATGCCTCTGAAATGCAGAAGGGACTGCACTGAGCCTGGTAGCATGATCATGGGCCAGTGATGAGTGCAAAGAGCAGTCTATAAACCACAGAACTGCTCCCCAGGGTTTTGGCTGAGAAACAGATCACTGGGCCATGAAGAGCTCCTGGCAGGAGCCTAGCTGGGGCTCAGCGTGCAGGACTAGCAGCAAACAGGAGGAGGGACGCCCGTCTTTCCTCTACTGCCTCCCTCAAGGGCTGCAGAGATGCACAGACCCTGAGGGGTGCTGCACACGCCCTCTCCAGGGAAGCAAGAGCCACCTGTCTCTGCTGGGGATAGCGGGGAGAGCTGCAGGACACAGCCAGGAGTGGTTGGATGGGAGCACCACCCCTGGCAGATGCCTGGGCATCCCTTATCTGCAGTGTGGTGGAGAGGCCACCAAGTACCTCCAGAGCAGGTGGGAGCTCATGATGTACCCCTTGTTGCCTCCTTCAGTGCACAGAGGTGTCAAAAAGGCTCCCACATACCCCAGTGCCGGTCTACATAGGCTCATCACCACCATTTCCTTTGCAGCTCTCTGTGAGTACGAGGGGAAGAAGTTCTCCCTGGGAGAGTCGTGGCTGAGCACCAACTGCCTGCTCTGC